CTGATGAAGGGTCTAGGCCCGAAACGTCAACCTTTCTGCTCCTATGATGCTGCTTAGCCTGCTGTGTTCATTCAGCTCTGCACCTTGTTGTCTCGGATTCACCAGCATCTGCAGTTCCTACTATCTCTTGACAGATAAATGAATTGGTGTGGAATAGAGGGATACAGACACTGCAGAGGAAAAATGTCTTAGTTTAGAAAGGCATCATGTGTCAGTGCAGTCTTTGTTGGCAGAATGGCCTACCCCTGTGCTGTGCTGTTCTTTGTTCTTTGTAAAGTGAAATCACAGAGATTGCTAGATCTTCCTGGGAATCTTTCTTCAAGTTACTGGTGAGTGCCATTGATTCTTTGCTGGCCATAAAATCCAGACCAATATCCAAGAATTCATTCCTTCATTTACTTGCAACCTTTAGTCTATGATCACAGTCTAAATGTAATAAGCTGGTTGCATCTACTTTAACCCCACCCCGTTATCATTTTAAAGACATTGAATAGCAATCTGATTTCCCTTTTCTATAATGAATACCAGTTGAAAAAATCCTTCCTATATCCTTATGCTGAAGTTATAGAGGATAGCTTATGTTGGTGTAAATGAGTTTTCCATCTTGAATCTATTGAAAATAGCAGTATAATGTAATGCAGTCCTGGCAAGCTGTTGATTCTAAGCATGTTTTTTTTTTAACTGCAGAGTATCTATACACTAGTGCTCCATAAATGGTGGCCAAAACAATTTTGATGTTATCAGTTTCGATACTGACAAATGACGCACTCATTGTTGCTTTCCAGAAGTGATATGAATCAGTACTTCATGGAATACTCATAATTGCATAAAGTATTTTAATAAGCTTTGGTAATGATTTTTCCAGTGTTAACATAACTTGCCATGCTCTCAAGATTCATCACATTGGGTCATTAGTCACATTGATAATTTGGCTCAATTGACAGGATACTTTCAATGCAATCACACCTAAACTCTTTCTCATCTATTGCTTTAACATCTTAGTTCACTCAGGAGTAGATATGTTGTAATAGGGATGAAGGCAAGGTGGATCCATTGACTATGAGATCCTTGATTGGGGTTGTTAGCCTGGGCTTATCAGGGATTCCTGGCTAACAGATATAAACAAGAGTGTCAGCTGAAGAAAATTCACTGGCAACAGTCATAATTGAATTGGAGTAAGCATTTCTGGCATCATGTTTTCATTTGGGAAGCTTGACTCATTTGGTCCAGCTGTTGAAGACTTGGCCCAGTATGTGGAAAGAATGTGTTAATTTTTCCTGGTGAACAATATTGGGGCAGATGAAAAGCAAGAGTAATCCTTCTGCCTGCTTGCAGATCTGCAGCATTTTTGGTTATTAGGAGCCTAACTTTCCCTGAGGCGCCAGATACTAAAACCTTTCAATAGTTGATGGATTTAGTTAAGGAATATTATGACTCCAAGCTTCCCCTAATTCTAAAATGCTATAGATTTTATTCAGCAGTTCAAGAACTGAGGTTAAGACAGCTGGCAGAGGCATGTGATTTTGGGTTAACCCTGAATGTGATACCGAGAGACCGTTTGGTATGTGGGATTAATGATGTAACCAGCAAAAGCACTTACTAGCTGAAGCCCAACTGGACTTCAAACAGGCATGACAATTGACTTTATCATTAGAAAAGGTGGCAAGTGGAGCTTGTGAGCTACAGGGCATCGCAATGGAAGTGGACACTCTCACCTGACTGACTAAGCATGGGGAACACCATTTGAGTGAAGGCAATCGCAGAGCCTCACGCTGGGCATATCCTCAGCAGAGGGACTCTAGGTCAACCCACAGCAAAACCCCAAAACAAAGCGAAGCCTCGGCCAAATGGCTAAAATGTTCTTCAGGATCCGGGCCTGCAAACCATTGTAGTTGCTGCTGGTATGCAGACTCGAGACAGCAAAGGAGTCCGATGAGGCCTGATTTGAATAAGATAACTTATAGGCTGGTATCTAGGAGAGTGCACCCTCTGGAAAGTTCACCTACATTTGGTTTGGAACAGTTAAATTGCTTAGCAACATCCAAATCAGAACCAATCAAAATACACGTCTGGTTAAATGGTCATCTGGTTCTACTGGAGGTCGATACCGGTGCAGCAGTATCCGTCATTGCAGAACTAGTCGTTGCAAGATTCGCACTGCACTCCAACCCTCAAGTTTGCGCAAGACCTCGGTCAGACTGAGAAAGTACACCAGGGAACTGTCACTGATTAAGGGTACAACTTTGGTTCCAGTCTCCTATGAGAAGCAGTGGGTGCAGTTACCACTGGTTGATTGTAGTAAAAGGCTTGTGGCTAAGCCCGATGGGTGGAATTGTTTGAGAAAGATTCACCTTCATTTTCAACGTTTTTCAATTAGAAAGTGGCTACCTGAGTGAAATCCTAAGTAAATACCCAGAAGTTTTTCAGGAAGGTCTAGGGACTATCAAAGGAATCAAGGCCACCTTACATATTGACCAGGAAGCAATTCCACGATTCTGCAAGGCCCGTCCAATGCCATTTACCTTGTAGGCAAAATTAGAGGCAGAATCATATGGGCAGTACCGGTTGTACTGATTTGTGAAACCTGATGGGTCAGTTTGCTTTGGCGGGGATTTTAAGCAAACAGGAAACTGCTTCTTGCAGCTAGATAAATACCCAATCACTTGCATAAAGGACCGGTATGCAAAACTGGCGGGGTGGCTTCCTTCACAAAGCTGGACATGAGCCCCCCTACCTGCAATTGTGACCAGGTGAGGAGTCCCAGAAGTATGCCACAATTAAAACCCATTAGGGTTTGTACCAATATCCAGGACTGCCATTTGAGATATCATCAGCCCTGTTCCCTTTTCTAGCGGACAATGGAGAGCATTTTATAAGGTCTATCCCTGGTTGCCATTTGTCTGGATGATGTGCTAATAACTAGGAAGACCAATTGAGCAGTTGAAGAACTTGGACATTGGACGTAAACGTTCTCCCAGGTAGTTGTATGCCTTGGGAGGAAAAATGTTGGCCTGCAGACAAGAGCGGTTACACATGTTGGAAGATAAAGTGAAGGCGATCAAAGGTGCCTCGGCTCCCAAGTCTGTACCGGAGCTAAGGTCTTTCCTTGGGTTGGTGAATTATTAAGTTCACATGACCTCCATCTTGTCATGCGGCTGTTGTAAAAGGGCCAGCCTTGGAAATGGATGCATGGCCAAGAAGTAGCCTTTGGAGAAGTGAAAAAGCAGCTATCATCATCTAAGGTGTTGGTCCACTATGATCCCAAGCGAGAGGTGGTATTGTCGTGATGCCGTCCTGTACAACATTGGGGGAGTGTTGGCTTACATGTGGCCCAACAGAAAAGAATGCCTGATAGCGTAAGCTTCCCAGATTTAGCTGATGCCGAATGCAAATGCACCCAGATAGAGAAGGAAGGTTTGGCAGTCATCTTTGGTGTGAGAAAGTTCTACTAATACGTTTAGGGACATAAATTTGTAATAGTAATAGACCACAAACCCTTGCTATGGTGACTTAAAGAGGACAAGGCTGTGCCGCCTATAGCTTCTGTTCGAATTCAGCGGTGGGCACTTATTCTCAGTGCATACAATTGCAAGTTGGAATATAGTCCAGGAGGCCAAGTAGCAAATGCAGATGCCTTGATTTACCTCCCATTGGCACATACACCACTGGAGGTGCCTACCCTGGAAGAGTCTTTTTGGTTTTAAACTTTCAGGACACTGTACTGATCACCGCCAACAATTTCCGAATGTGGACACAAGAAGATCCCATCCTAGCAAAACTAAAACAGCTGGTGGTGATGGGAGAAGCAAAAGGGCCATCACAACCAGGGTTGAAAACTTTCTGGACCCAGCAAGACCAGTTAACGGTAGAGGACAACATATTACAATGGGGAGCAAGAGTGATTGTCCTGAGTAGAGGTTGCCGCCAGATACTGGCTGAACTCCACGAGGGTCATTCAGGTGTTTCCAAAATGAAAATAGAGTCATATAGCGCAGAAGCAGAGCCTTCAGTAGGATATTATTCAGATGTAGAGGGTTGCTGCATATGGTAGGTTTGAGTTATAAAGAAACGCTCGAAAGGCTGGAACTTTTTCCACTGGAGCATGGGAAGTCGAGAGGCGGTCTTACAGAAATTTATGAAATAATAAGGGGTATAGATAGAGTAAGTGGTAGTTGTCTTTTTCCTATGATGGGAGATTTTGAGACTAGGTGGTATATTCTTAAGGTGAGAAGAGCGAGATTTTAAAAAGATATGAGGGACAAATTTTTTTACACAGAGAGTGGTTTATGCGTGGAATGAACTTATTAAGGAAGGGTGGATGTGGGTACAATTACAACGTTTAAAAGACATTTGGATAAGTACGTGAATAGAAAATGTTTGGAGGGATATGGGCCACGACCAGGCTAGTGGGACTGGTTTAGTTTGGGATTATGTTCTGTTGGCAAAACGTTATGTCTGGTGGCTAGGATTGGATGCTGATACAGCTGTGTTGGTGGGTCAGAGTGCCAACAAAGACAAAAATTACTGCCAGCAGTGGCCCCACATTCGTGGGAATGGCCAGGTAAACCTGGACTCGGTTACATATTGACTATGCCAGTCATTTTGTGGGCTCAATGTTTATGGTCATTGCAGATGCCCATTCAAAGTGGTTGGACATGCATAGAGTTCATTCGGCAAACTCAGGAATGACAATTGAAAAGCTGTGAGCATCGTTCACGATACACAGGCTCCTGGAAGTATTGGTCACTGACAATGAAATGTCTTTTACCAACAGGGATTTAGAGTGTTTCCAAAAGTCAAATGGCATTCAGCATGTTTGGACTGCTCCACACCATCCATTGTCTAATGGTCTGGTGGAAAGTGCAGTCCAAACGCTGAAGGCAGGCTTAAAGAAACAGCCTACAGCTTCACATGATACCAAACTGTCCCTGCTTCTGTTTGATTTTAGGGCTATCCCATATGCAACTACAGGGATAGGTCTAGCAGAGTTGCTGATGGGGAGAAGACTCCGCACCAGGTTAAACCTGATATTCCTGGACTCGTGGGTGAGGGTGAGATAGCAGCAGGAATGTCAATGCCAACCCCATGCCTCCTCTAAGTTAGAGATACAGTTTATTTCAGGGGACAAAGTTTGGTGTCAAAACCACGGAAATGGCCCTTCATTGGTATGAGGTGAGGTCGATGCAAGGTCCGGGACCGTGACATACAAAGTTCGGGCAGGTGAGGTGGTCCTGAACAAACATGTAGATCACCTGAAAGCTGCTACCTTGCAAACGGGGCACGACCAAAACATATCTGGCCCCTCAGAACACCAGAAGTGCTGTCAGAAACCGTCTGTTCCCCCCATATCTAGCGTTGAAGAAACTTTAGAATCCGAGATGAATTCAGCATTGGTACTGTTACTGCCTGAAGAATATGAGGAAACTCGCCCGAGATGCTTCAGGCGCAAGAGGCGAGTTACAGTCTGGTACATGCTGCCTGTGTCTGGGTCAGAGTCGGAGAAACTTGACCTGGGGCAAAAACGTCCGAGGAGAAGCTACAAAAAAAAAGCCTTCATGCCTGGACTCAGCTCCCGATCTCATTACAGCCTTGGCTCAAACATGGACAAAAGAGCTGAATTCCAGAGGTGAGGTGAGAGTGACAGCCCTGGAATCAAGGCTGCATTCGACCAAGTGTGGCATCAAGGAGCCCTAGCAAAACTGGAATCAATGGGTATTAGGGGCAAACGCTCTAGTTGTTGAAGTCATACTTGACACATAGGAAGATGGTCGTGGTTGTGGGAGGTCAATCACCTCAGCTCCAGGACATCTCTGCAAGTGTTCCTCAGAGTAGTGTCCTGGGCCCAAACATCTTCAGCTGCTTCATCAATGACCTTCCCTCCATCATAAGGTCAGAAGTGGGGATGTTCGCCGATGATTGCACGATGTTCAGCACCATTTGTGACTCCTCAGATAATGAAGCAGTCCATGTTCACATGCAACAAGATCTGGACAATATCCAGGCTTGGGCTGACAAGTGGCAAGTGACATTCACGCCGCACAAATGCCAGGCTATGACCATCACCGATAAGAGACAATCTAACCACTGCCATTGACATTCAATGGTGTTACCATCACTGAATCCCCCACTATCAACATCCTGGGGATTATCATTGATCAGAAACTCAACTGGACTCACCACATTAACAGAGTGGCTACAAGAGTAGGCCAGAAGCTGGGAATACTGTGGCGAGTAACTCTCCTGAAAGCCTGTCAGCCATCTACAAGGCACAAGTCAGGAGTGTGATGGAATACTCCCCACTTGCCTGGATGAGTGCAGCCCCAATAACACTCAAGAAGCTTGACACCATTCAGGACAGAGCAGCCCACTTGATTGGCACTACATCCACAAGCATTCACTCCCTCCACCACCGACGCTCAGTAGCAGCAGTGTGTACTATCTACAAGATGCACTGCAGTAATTCACCAAAGATCCGCACACAGCACCTTCCAAACCCACGACCACTTCCATCTAGAAGGAAAGCGGCAGCAGATATGTGGGAGCACCACCACCTCCAAGTTCCCCTCTAAGTCATTCACCATCCTGACTTGGAAATATATTGCCGTTCCTTCACTGTCGCTGGGTCAGAATCCTGAAATTCCCTCTCCAATAGCATTGTGGGTCGACCCACAGCTGGAGGACTGCAGCGGTTCAAGAAGGCAGCTCACCACCACCTTCTCAAGGGCAATCAGGGATGGGCAAGTAATGCTGGCCAGCCAGCAATGTCCACATCCCACAAATGAATTTAAAAAAAAACTTTGGGGAGGAGGGATGTACTGATTGCAACAAGGGCCAGGTGGATCTCATTGACTTTGAGATCATTGATTAGGGTTGTTAACCTGGTCCAAACAGGGAGCCCTGATGACAAATATAAACAGGAGATTCAGCGAGTCTTCTCATTCTAGGGACTGACTGTGAGCTATTGTGCACATGTAATGAGATACTGGCCTCTCTGCAGTTATTTCAAGATAGGCGCAAATTAAATTTTTAACTAAAAGTTTAAAAAGTGAGATTAACAATGGTATTTATATTTTCAAAGACTGTTGAAGACCATCTTTCTTAGAAGTATCCAGATATTATTTTGTGGTAGCAGTTTTAACTGTGCTTGTGTCACTAGCAGGTCACAGATCTTATGCTGAGTATTGACACCAAAATTGCTTTCATTTTTATTAATTCATGGGGTGAAGGCAATTGCTGGCTGGACTAGTATTTATTACCCTTCCCTAATTGCCCAAAGCACATTCAAGAATCAACCACATTGCTGTGAGTTTGGACTCACATGCAGTCCAGACAAGGTCAGGATGGCAGTTTCCTTCCTTAAAGGACATTAGTAATCCAGATGGGTCTTTCCATCTTTGGACTCTTATTTCCAGAGTTTATTTGAATTCAAATTCCACTATCTGTAATGGTATGATTAACAGTCCAGCCATAATACCACTAGTCCACTGCCTCCTCTTAAACCTGCAATAGTAAGTGGGGAAGAATATTGTTCCAATTTTTGCGAGTGAATCAACAAATTGACATTTCAAAACATGAACCTGGCTGTACTATAATAAATGTTATTATTCAGAATATGTTTGCACATTCTCCCTGTGTCTGCGTGGGTTTCTTCTGGGTGTTCTGGTTCCCTTCCACGGTCCAAAGGTGTGCAGGCTAGGTGGATTAGCCACGGGAAAAACAGGGTTACAGGGATAGTGTTTAGGGGTGGCTTTGGGTGGGATGCTGTTTAAAGGTGCAGTGTGGATTCAATGGGCTGAATGGCCTGTTTCATGCTGTACAGACTATATGATATTATTTGATAAGTTTTCAAAAACTTTAATTTTATTAGGGCATTCCAACTTCATGAGTCCTTTCATCTTTTGAGTTGTATGTTATAAATTGCATGGTGCTGAAATTCATCCTCTGTTTTAACAAAAAAAAATTGGTATTTATAAAATGAGAAAATTCCTTTGTGGTCATTTTTGTTTGGTAAAATTATCAACAGAAAGAATAATACTTCTGTTTAATGAAATATTGATATTTTTACATTTGCAGTTGGTTAGAAATAAATTAAAGTTACCAGACAGAAACAGATGATCTTGCACAACTGGTCCATATTGGTGTTTATCCACCATTGCATAATATTATGGCTACAAGCGTCTGATATGTCATAGCCCCCAGTGGCCACAATGAATTGTCCTCCACATTTGTATGCTTTTTAGCTCCCTATCAATGCAAACAAAATGTTGTGTAAGTTACTCTACAAATCATGAGTGAACCAGAAGTTGTCAGTACTAGGGGGACTTCACGGAGTTATAGGTTCTGGTGCTGTTTTTTGAATGACCACCTGGACATAACTTTACTCACTGAATTCCAGGAACTTCCCAAGAACTTGTAATGATCAGAAGCTCAGAAATGCTTGCCAAGATATCAAAGCTGCCCCCAGATTTACCAATGCTTTTTTATGGATGATGCAGGGAGATTCTCCATGGGAAGATCCATCTTTATCCCAGCGGAATGGCACCAGGATGCATTTTCTTCAAACCCATCCAATCTGGAAATATTGGTTCACTGAAATTGCCCTCTGATCAGTGCAAGGATAAGTACTACCATCACAAGAGGCATCACTTAGTCTTAATCTACTATGACACAGGCATTGTATAAATGGTCATAGCCTGTAACCCTTTGCATCACATAAGTGATATGCACTCAAGGACTTTCATGCACCTCATCCTGTCAACTACTAACCCTTCATTGACACTATGCTACCTACTTAATTCTCAGAATGGCTCACTGCCTGGCATGATTATGTATGCATGATTATGTATCCATTCCATCATTCAATCCTTGCCTTTGTCTCATTACAGGAGAAGCTAGTGCACAATCACAAAGCAAAGACTAAAGATCCTCACCTCCTCTGTGGGAAGGGCTGTCAGGCTGTCTGGGAAGTACAGGACTAATACATTGGTGACAGGGAAATATGAATGCGTTTGCAAACCAGTAAACAACATTGTGTTCTGTTCTTCTCAGATGAATCTGAAGGGTAGAACATTGGGTTGCATAAACTATATTGTAGACAAGCTGGAGGCTGGAAGAACACACAAGCCAGGCAGCATCTGGAGGAAAGGAGAAGTCAACATTTTGGGTATTACCTCACTTCAGGACTGGATGTGGGGGTAGCAGGAGCTGCAGATAAAGAGGGGGTGGTAGGGGTATAGTGGAATGTTGGTGTAGGTGGGCACCAGTAGTAGGTAGATCGTACCTACTATTGGTGCCCACCTATCAACACCATTCCGCCATTCCCCTCCTCTCCTTTTATCTGCAGCTCCCCCTACCCCCACATCCAGTCCTGAAGAGGGGCAACACCTGAAATGTTGACTCCTCCTTTCCTCCAGATGCTGCCTGCCGAGTTCTTCCAGCTTGCTGTTTGTCTACCTTAGATTCCAGGATCTGCAGATTTTTTTGTCTGTAATAAACTATTTTGTACCTTCACCAACTGATTCTTTCTCATGTATTCTGCTGACACTACAGCCACCCAGCACCAAAGCCCAATGCAAAATACTTCAACCTGACCCACTCACCCTCTGAGGATGGAAATGTGAACCTTCAGAGGATGCACTGGCAATGGATTAATTTACACTGTTCACCACTCAGAGACAGTGACCTCAAGCCAGATTAGTCTGGAGCAGTTGTGGGGACAAGGTAGTGGTGAGGTTTTCTGTGACACTCAGGACTGTCATAAATGAGGAATCTGCATGTAGAATATGTGTCTCTGTATTTGACTGTAAGTGACACAATCAACCTGCAAAGAAAGGCAGGGTGTGCAGAGATGTTCAGTAGGCTGGAACAAAAGATGGTGGAGTCTGTCCATGATCTCACTGCTGTGGTAGTTCTGGCTTACAAGTGCTGGGCTGTCCCCATGGCAGAAATGACAACTGTGTTTGAAACCCAGGTACAGAAGAATGCTCAGTGTCTGCTGGAAATGCTCTCAGACATACATGTCATCTCATTTGCCATGGGAGCCCAGCATCAATAGCAAACATCAAAGTTTTAGATTCTACGAAGAAAGTTAAGTTTCTTGTTAAAAGAGGCGGTTCTTTTGCCAGTTCAGTTGATGAAACATTTGACCCCAAAGAAAAAATAGCAATAACTGTTCAGAGACAGTATAAAGAGAACTGCCTGGCCTTTAGACTTTCGTGGACAGGAGATACTGCTTGCTCCATCCCTGAAAAGAAGTTGACAAACACTATGATTGTACCAAGTAGGCGAAGACACCATTTGCAACTGAAAAATCCATCTGTTCGAAACAAACATATTCAGTGCTTAAAGAACTTGAGAGAACAAACATAAAGGAGACCCGATATTTGAGGGACTGTGTGCAAGGATAAGTACTTATCAAGACTTATGAAGGGTCTAGGCCTGAGACATCAATTCTCCTACTCCTCTGATGCTGTCCATTTGCTGTGTTCCTCCAGCTCCGCACTGTATTGACTAAGTAGTACCATCATTGCTTTTGCCCCAGTAAAATGACAAGAAGCATCCTTAGTCTCAATCTACCATGACATAGGCATCTTATAAATGGTCAAAGCCTGTAACCCTTCACATTACACACATGATATGCACTCGAGGACTCTCACGCACCTCATCCTCTCAACTACTAAGAGACTTGGATAAAGCTCAAGAGGCTTGCGGTTGAGCAAGTAGCAAACTCGAAGCCTCACACCATTGCTGAAATCTTCATCATGCCTGTCTATAAAAAAATATTGTAGGTGTGATTTTAGGAGTTGATACTGCAAAAGAGATCAACAAATTTCCACTCTGATGATACAGTTAAATGGCAAGTTGCTGACATGTCAGCTGAAATTGAAGAGATGCTGTCAGAGAAGTTAATCAAGTAGTGGGAAGTTTGCTTTATATTTTAATAAGTCTACCGATATAAGCAAAATCTGCCAGCTGCTGGCCAGCGTTTGGGAGATTGATTTGATGTCCATTCAAGAATTATTCCTTCTGTAAGGCGCAGCTGAGTCGTGCAACTTGAGAAGAAATGTTTTGGGTAACAGATAGTCGAAGAAAAATAAACTTGCCTGGGCCATATGTTGGAGCCTGTGCAGTGACGGAGCAGCCTCCAATAAGGGGGAAAGTCAAAGGATTTGTCAATCCTAACATTCAGAACACTTATTGCATCCTCCACTGTCACGTTTTTGTAGCTAAAGTAATGCCACCAAAGCCATTAGAGCAGTCTGTGAAAATTGTGAATTACGTAAAATCACAGCCATTGAAATAACACTTAAAGTCATAGAGATGTACAGCACGGAATCAGACTCTTTGGTCCGACATGTCCATGCCAAGCGGATATCTTAAATTAATCGAGTCCCATTTGTCAGCATTTGGCCCATATCCCTCTAAACCATTCCTATTCATGTATTCATCCAGATGCCTTTTACATGTTGTAATTGTACGAGCAAGCACCACCGCTTTGGCAGCTCATTCCATACACGCACCACCCTGTATGAGAAATTTGCGCCTCAGGTCCCTTTTAAATCTTACCCCTCTCACCTTAAACCTATGCCCTCAGTTTTGGACTCCCCTACCCTGGGAAAAAGACCTTGGCTAGTCCCCCTGTCCATGCTCATAATGATTTTATAGTCTTCTACAAGGTCACCCCTCAGCCTCCAGCACTCCAGGGAAAATAACCCCAAGCCTAGATCTCCAGCATTTGTTGTTTTCAGTAACATCCTTGTAAATCTTTTCTGAAACCTTTCAAGTTTCACAGTATCTTTCCAATAGCAGGGAGACCAGAATGGAAGAGATAACAACAGTGTGGAGCTGGAGGAACACAGCAGGCCAGGCAGCATCAGAAGAGTAGGAAAGTTGACAGTTTGGGTCGGGACCCTTCTTCAGAAGGGTCCGAAACATCAATTTTCCTACTTGTCTGATGCTGCCTGGCCTGCTGTGTTCCGCCAGCTCCACACTGTGTTATCTCTGACTCAAGCATCGGCAGTTCTTACTATCTCTGAGACCAGAATTGAATGCAGTATTCCAAAAGTGGCCTGACCAATGTCCTGTGTAGCCGCAATATGACATCCCAGCTCCTCAACTCAATGCAATGACCAATGAAGGCAAGTGTACCAAACGCTTTCTTCACTACCCTGTCTAGCTATGACTCCGCTTTCAAAAAACTATGAACCTGCACTCCAAGGTCTCTTTGTTTGGCAACGCTCCCCAGGACCTTGCCAATAATTATATAAGTCCTGCCCTGATTTGTGCTACCAAAATGCAGCACCTCATATTTATTTAAATTAAACTCCGTCTGCCTCTCCTTGCCCCACTTGATCAAGGTCACGTTGTACTCTGAGGTAACTTTCTTCACTTTTCGTTGTGTTGACTGCAGAAATGGGGGCCAAGCAACAGAGTTTATTGTTACACACTGAGATCTGATGGTTATCGTGGAGGAAAGTTGCACTATATTGCAAAGTTCTTTAGTAAGGCGGTAACCATATTAAATGAAAGTAAATATACCATTTATAAGCAATCAATTCATCTGCAAAAAGTAGGTGTGTTTGTCTCGTTGAACATGCCTTGATACTAAAAAGGTTGGGAACGACTGGACTAGTGACCAACTCATCCATTAGTGATCCACTCACTTGTATGTTGGGCATTGCAGTCAAAGCACCGGATACGTCTCGGGGACCCTAAGGGCATTGATAAGGCCTAGGGAGAAACCTGAGCCTGGGATGTTCAATTGATAAACCCCACCCACTCACCATATATGACCAATAACAGAACCTGTTATTTAACTACTGGGTCCAAAGGGAAAAGTTTGTCTTAGGTGTTAGATTTTTAAAGCCATTGTCACAATACTTAAGGCTGTGAGATAGTAATGACCAAAATTGCATCTTAATTTACCATAAGTATGGAGCTAAATGAAGGGAACAGGTCCACACTTCATAGCCCTTAATACTGGAAGAGTTGTCATTGAAGATGCTGTGGCATAGCAAGAGTATAGTGAAGATTCATTGCATTCTGCAGGACTACAGGAATAATGAGGATATAAGAAGCCATCTCAAGATGTGGGGCAACTCAGTAATATTTACCACTGAGTAGATCCCCTGATGTGACTCTCATATGCTTGCAATAAAATGATCCTTTTGTCAAATGTTCAGGGACGTGAAGTAGTGGAACTGTTAACTGTATCACAGTCAGTTCATTACTATTGTTCGTCCATGCTTGTCACGCATATGCATTGTATTTTCAACATAAGCTGCTGGCACATGCGCCATCTCTGATATTGATGCAGCACTGTCCCAAACAGCAACTGGTAACTCCCCCATTTCATATTGACACTTCACTGTTTCCTATGCTCTTGCCTTGCCTTCTGTGCTAAAGTAATCCAAACACTGCCTTCCTTCTGCCCTAAAATGCTGTTCCAATACAGTGTTTGATCTTGTCTCCTAAAATGCCATCTGTGAAATGAGAGCTGGAGTGTTGCCATTTTCCATTTGAGAAGAGCAAGACCAAGAACATATTACCTTGGTCTGCAAGGAGGTTAACTGCAGTTGTGGAAATTTGATTTGATTTATTATTGTCACATGTACTGAGATACAGTGAAAAGTATTGTTTTGCATGCTATCCAGGCAAATTATACCTCACATAAGTACTTCAGGGTAATTGAACAGAATGTAGAATATAGTGTTACAGCTACAGAGAAGGTGCAGAGAAAGATCAACTTTAATATAAGGAAGTTACAGCGAAAGTGAAGACAATGACTGTCTAGGCAGCATCAGAGGAGCAGAAAAGTTGACATTTTGGGTCGTCAACTTTCCTGCTCCTGTAATGCTGCCTGGCCTGCTATGTTCCTCCAGCTCCACACTGTGTTATCTCTGACTCCAGCATCTGCAGTTCTTGCTATCTCACAATGACTGTCGAGAATGTTTCAGTAGAGGTAGCCAAAGCTAAATACTCACTCTAACTGGAGACTGAAGAGCAAAGCCGAGGAGTACGTGCTTAGACTGCATTTGAGTTTCTGTCATGTCGAGTATCTCACTTGAGGAGAAGTTAATTGGGAAAGGTCAGTTGTGTAATTAACATGTTGCAAATGCAACGATATAGGCTTCTTGCCATCTGGTAGGGAGAAAGTGATCTCACCATCTAAGAAAGGAGGACTTAATTGCAGAAGTTGATTTCAACAGCAAGAATATGATTTTTAACAAAAACGACAACAATA